GATCTAATTCAAAAAAAAATCTGATTGAAGTTGACATCCATAATCTGAGAAAAAAACTTATTATAAGTAATCGAAATAAATTAATTCCAATTATAGAGACAATTATTTTTCTTGGCCGCAACAATATTGCTTTTCAAGGTCATTGTGATGGCAGTAAGTATCATTCAAAGATTGGAGAAACATGTAAAAACAACATTGGTATAAGTAACTTTGTAGAGCTTTTAAATTTTTGCATTGAAGCAGGTGATAAAGTTCTTAAGCACCATATTCGTTCTGCTCCTAAAGATGCAACCTATATATCTAAAACCACACAAAACGAACTTATTGAATGCTGTGGAAAAACTTTCGAAGAAGTTCTAATTAATAAAATTAAAAAGTCAGGTTATTTTTCTATCGTGTGTGATGGAGCCTCTGATTGTTCTAATGTTGAACAGCTATCTCTAGTTATAAGATACATTGACTGTGATAATGTTATTTGTGAAGATTTTCTATGGTTCATTGAATGTAAATCTGGTACAACTGGTCTTAGTCTAGCGCAAAACAGTGAAGGTAAGAGTTATAATATTGATACGTCTTCAAAAGCTTCATGTTTTTTAAATCTTATGACTAATTTTTCTTGTATTGTAAGTTTAGTTTTAACCAGACAAATAATGGACTATATCTATGCCACCACTGTTGTTCCTTAAACTAAAGCGTTTGGTATATCACAACAGTGTAATGAAATAAATTGTTTAAAAACTCAAATTTTAGATTTAAAAAAAATTATTGATGTCTATCATAACGAATGGTTCAAGGTTTTCAGAAGTTAAACCATGTTTCAGAAGTTAAACCAAGATAAACAAATTTATAGAGATAATTATCCCTCTGACACAGTTTCAGATTATTTCAAATATTCCATCACATCTCCTCTTCTAGATCATTTAATTAATGAATTAGAAGATAGATTTGATATTAGTGATATGGTTGTTAACAAAGGTTTATCTGGTATTCCTGCAACTGTTGTAAAAAAAAATAAAGAAAAATGTTTTTTGGAGTTAGATTTTATGGAATTTTTGCATTTTTATATATTGGATATGCCTCATCCTACATCAATTCATGTTGAATTAGATTTGTGGGAATTATTTTGGAACAATCAATCTGTGATCCCATCCACTATTACAGAGACTCATATCTATTGATATGAGGTGTTTCCCAAACATTAGGGAAGGTTTTTTAATAATGGGAACAATTCCAATTACTACATGTGAATGCGAGAGGAGCATTTCTGTTATACGCAGACTGAAAACTTATATGCGAAGCCGCATGACAGAGTCAAGGTTTAATTATTTAGCTCTGATGTCTATTCATCAAGAAATAATTCCTGATGTAGAAAAAGTTTTGAATATTTTTTCTGTTTTAGGGGAACGACGCTTAGAGTTGGTTTTTACCTAATATTAATTTATTAATTTTCTTTTTTGTTTATTGACTATATTCTTGTATTTTAGTTTATTTTATATTTAAGTTTATTTTATATTTAATGAAAATTAGAAAAAACAAAATAAAAATTAAAAAAAAAAGCGTTAAAAAAAATTTGGCCTAACTGCCTATTAAGAAAAGGAAAGAATCTAGAAATGGATGGCTAACCTAAGGTAATAATATAAATAATTAACATTAACTAGCCTATCGTGAAAAGGTAAGAATCCAGAAATGGAGGGCTAACCTAAGGCAACAATACAATTACTTTACACTAACTGCCTATCAAGAAAAGGAAAGATTCCAGAAATGGAGGGCTAACCTGAGGCCACATGGCAGTTTACAAATGGAGTGCAAAGTCCTATGGCTTACCTTCTCGTTGGTGCACTTCGTTAAATAGGTTAGACAAGTAAAAAATGTCTAATTTATAAACAGCATAGCCAAGGCAACATTGTTGTTAGTTTTGTTTTACATGGGTAATTGAGAACAATGCCCGGTGAGTAATAATAAGGTACTAATGCCGCTCTGAACTCCCCCCCCCCCCCCTCGCTAGGGGTTTACAAAAAAATATCGCAAACTATTTTGGCAACTCGAAAAAAAACAGGCAACACCCACAAAAAATCCTGCATCCGCCCCTGTTTACATAGGTAGAAAATAATAAATTTACACATATTTTAAAGGAACAAAAGTATTTTTAAATCATTTTGTTTATTATATTTAGTCAACACATGTGAATATGTACATAAAAATTTTAAAATAAAACTATGAATGCCATATATTCCAGCAATTGGATACTGAATCAAGACATAAATGGACATAACAAAATGATCAAAAAACACGTGATATACAAATACCTTTTAAATGGCGCTGGGACTGACCAACTAAAGTAGCTTTTTGAATCTTTTCAGAACAATTGCAATCTCTTGGCTAATAATTCATCAAAGGTTTATGAACTCCAACATTTGTATATTGTAATGTTATGTGTTCATTTGAATTACTAGGTCTTCCACTATTCTTAGATCTATTATTTCCTACTAATTGTTTAATGACTTCCTCCCAAAAACTTTGATGACTGCGATCATGATAGTCAGTAAACCAAGACTCAAGTATTTCCAATAGTTTGTAAAAGATTGGCTTATACCATTTACTTGATTTTCTTCCACAAATATAACACTTCATGATTTGATCTGCTGAATCTACACCAGCCATGTTGGCATAATAATCTTTATTTGCGGGGGGTATTTAACATTTATTCCGCCAATTGTCCCTTTTTTTCCTTTTTGCTTTACAAACATTGTACTGTTTGCAGCTTCATCGTTGTAATTTGGATAGTGAATTGTTGAAAGTATATGAACAGGCGTGCTGTCAATCCAGACCTGTGCCAACACTAGACCATACATTCGCCAACCGCTATACTCTTGTTAAAACTTTATTTTTGTCTTCATTATAATCTCCTTAGGAAATTGGCTGCGATTGATGCGTGCAATACCAGTTGTATAAACATCATTTTTATAAAGATACTCAAGCAAACCAACTTTAGTGCAATAGTTATCTAAATATACACCGTATTCTTGCTTTAGAACATAATGAGTAAGTTGATTGACAACAGTTCATGCAAGGTCATGTTGCTTTAGTCCGTCAATATCTTTTTCAGTGTAAATCAAGAATTGAGATAATTACCCAGTAGCTGACTCTGCTATTACCCATGCTTTTATTTCAAATCGCTTACGTTTGCTTGAAACAATTTTGTCGGAAAAAGATTCTTCCCTTGAAAGGTATTATACTTTCATCAATGCAAATTTTTCTTTTTGGTTTACAAAGATTTTTAAATTTAGGGCAAAGGTATTATAGCAACATACACAACTTGAAAGGTTTGTCATAACCCTCTTTACTTCTTGGTACTGCAGCTGTCTAATTGCAAAAGGTAACGATGAATTTTTCTAAATTAATCACAAGAAATTACTTTACTAAGAGATGAGATAGAAGAAAATCATTGCTTTTGTCTCCATTAGTCATGGATGTGACAAAGTTTTATTATTCCCATCGCTAAACAGATTGCTATAAATACTTGGATATCATTTGATGTAACATCAACCCAAATCATTCAATGCTTTATAGGAGATAGTAACCTTCTTGAATGATAGTGATTTGTTTCAGTGACAAGTTTTTGCATTAAAGCATTATCAAAAAACAATTCAAATAAATGGATTGGTTTGATATTGCCATCACATTTTGTTATTGCAGATTTATTAAACGTTGGTCCTGGTGGTACTGGTGTTGCCATAAATGGAATAATAGTTCTTTTAATTTTAATTTTTTTCCATTTGCTGTTGTCTTTACTAATATTAGATTTCTTAGTCTTAATGGTATGAGGTTTTTTATTTGTCTTGATGAAGGTTGATTTCATGGTTTAAACAGTTGGTTGCTTACGTATTTTTCTTTCCTTATTTACAGCAACATTGTTATCAGCAAATGTAATTGTATAGAGTTCTTTGTTATCATTAGTTCCTGATTTATTAATGAAAAAGTCCACATCTCTTTTTTCTGTTAAATCATCTTCAGAACTAAAATAATCTTCAGACGATGACGATGAAGCTATTTCTGATGATGATGACAGACTTGCTGACGATGGAGCTGTTGGTGAGCAAATAAAAGTCTTATTCTCCTGGAATTCGTTGTCATCATACTCTGAAGAACCACAGGATAAATCGCTAACATCATACATTTGATCAAGGAAGAGCTTCATTTGGATCATTTATAATTCTAATTCTCAAAGCCATCTGCAATAAGAAAAGCCTAACGATTACATTTATTTTGTTCAGTGTTACAAACATAAAAAACAATCCGTAAATTAATAGTTCCTATTCTCCTAAGCCTAATTTATAAGTTTATGAGCACAAAAGGTTAATATTAAATTCAAATAGAATTGAACAATAACTTTTAGAGAGGTATTTTGATACTCTCGAGTGCCAAATACAACGGGGGTAGGAATAAACGGGAGGGTGGGAATTTTAATCAAAATCTAATAATCGGGGAGGTTTTAATATACGGGGGAGGGGGGGGAGATTTTTTCTAAAATTGAATAAACCGATGGGGCATGCTCAATGCCCTCCGTTTATCCGGCATGCAAATTATGCATGTTCAAGTCAAATGCGCATTTGACTTGCGGTCAAAAGCGCATTTTCTAACAGCTCTCAGGGTAGGTTAGGCTGTTTTATCATAATTTCAATAGGATTTAGTATGCTGATATAAGTTTTATACTTTGCAAAGTATAAAATTTATATTTAGCATATTAAATCCTATAATTAAAACCCAAGCTTTGTTGAGAAATAAACTAAAAGTTCATTTTTAGCAAATCGAGATTTAATAGGTCGACAATTTGTAAAACCTGTTTACACTGAAGTTTTTTTTTTTATTGGTAAATTAAATTTTTTTTTTTTTTGCGTTTGGATTTTGATGTGAACACTTTAACAGCTTCTATTTTTTTTTTTTTTTAAATCGATTATTAGTTTTTGAGTTTTTTTAAATTTAACGAAAAATATATATATATCTGAAAAAGGTTTTTAAATCATGTCTGTTACGATTGAGGAAGTCAAAAAGTTGGTCAAGGAAATGTTCAAGAAGTTCAAAACTGAGACCGAAGAAATGCTGAAACACCAGGAAATCACTTTTGTTAACATCGTTAGTTCAAACACCAAAATAATAAACGATCGTTTGGATAAAGTTGAACGTAACATTTTAGAAAACTCAAACAAAATAGCATTTATTATGAAGGAAGTTGATGAAATTAAAATCAGCTTAAACTTTCATGAAGACTTATTTAACAAAAAAATTAAAACCGCGATTGATACAATTACAAAAGTTAACTTATCGAATATCAAATCAAATAACAACAGCGACGAGCTTTCAAAAATAAACAACAAACTTAGAGAGATTGAAGATCAATCGAGGCGGAACAACTTTAGGATTGATGGTGTCCCCGAAAACAACAACGAAAGCTGGAATGACTGTGAACTAAAAGTTAAAAAAATATTTAACGATTACCTTGGGGTTCATAATATTAAAATTGAAAGAGTGCATAGGACAGGGAAAATTAAAAACAAAAAACATAGAACAATCGTCCGGAAACTTTTAGATTTTAATAACAAAACCGAAATACTCAAGAATTATTTTAAACTAAAAGGTAAAAACATCTACATATCCGAAGACTACTGTATGGAAACAAACCTAATACGAAAGGAACTACGCGACAGAATGAAAGTCGAACGACAGGCTGGTAAATTTGCTTACATTTCGTACGATAAACTTATTGTCAGAGATTGGAATACCAGAAAACGTATTGAAACATCAAACTCGCATCCAATATGCCCACAAGAAGTCAAAGTATCTCAAATTGAAGATGTTAACTGCGAAAGCAAAACTGCGCAAAGAAGGTAAGTATGTCATTTTTAGTTATGAAGTAATTTTTTGCAGAGATCTCAGAAACTCTATACCACCTAGTTTTAAAAAGAAATTTTTTTCTAATAAATTATTCCCAATAACAAATATGGCTGAAATTAACGACTTCGAATCCCTTAGCGGTAATCCTAGAGTTACGCAGCCTAAAATAATTATATTTTTGCCAGAGGGTTTTGCTACATCGATATAATAAAAGAAAAAAGATTGCTTCCCCATGCCAAATCCTCAGTCGATGTAGCAGCACTTCCTTGTAGCAGCAGGCTATAAGATAGTCGATGTAGCAGCACTCCGTTGCGAGTTAGGCTATAAGATAGTCAATGTAGCAAAACCCCCTGGCGAAAATATAATTATTTTAGGCCGCGTAACTGTAGCTTTACCCCCTTAGCTTTAAATTTACTGAAATAAATAATTTTATCACTAATGATAACATCGACCCTGATGTAAATTTTTTTATCAATTCGTTTACAGATTGCTCCTATCATTTCCCAAATGAATTAGAAGAATATCTTTTTAAATACTTTAATGACAAAAATGCGCATGCGCAAAAAGTTAAAATTGATCATATAAATATTAGAAGCCTCAGTTGCAATTTTGAAAAATTGCTAAATTTACTAGATGAAACAAAAAACTTTTTTAATATAATTTGCTTAACAGAAACATGGCTAAACTCAAATGACCTTAATAATACTAAACGTTTTTATATTCCTCATTTTAAATTGATTTCGCTCAATCAAGTTAATAAACGCGGTGGTGGAGTTTCTATATAAATATCACGCATCTAGTTAGGAATAAAAATATCACGCATCTAGTTAGGAATGATTTATGCGTTTCTGACGGCGATAAAGAAGTTTTATCTATTGAAATGTTCCTTGCGAACCACTTCTAAGTGTGCTCGGTGCTTTAAATGTATATAAACTCAATTTACACCAAGTTTTATTGTTTATGTTTAAAACAAAAAAGGAATTGTCTCCTAAAATATTTCAATCTTATTTTAATAAAATTAACCATAGGTACTCAACAAAGTTTTCAGAAAACAATTTTGTTGTTCCAAAACATAAATTAAAATTAACTTCCTATTCAAATAAATACCGCGGACCTTATCTGTGGAAGAAATTTCCAGATATTGTTAACAAAAAGCAGACTACATTAGAGCAATTTATGGATGAATCAAAACGATTATTATTGTTCATGGATCTCAATAAATCCGACTTTAAATGTTTATTTTAAAGTAAACACAATAAAAAAAAATAAAAAAAAAACAGATTCAATTATATCAATGATATATGATAATATGAATAAGAAAAGAAAGAAAAAGGAAAAAAAGTTATGTAGAATTTTTGATGGGGCTCGGCGATAAGGCGAAATGTGCCTTCTTCTTGCTCCAGCCATCAATTTATATAAATGTATATGCAATGTAAACATTTTTTAACGGCGAAATAAATTACACTAAAAAAAAAAATAATAAAAAATAAACAAAACATCTAAGAATATATTATTAAGCACCTGCTATCGACCACCTGACGGCGTGAGCGTGAACTTGAGTATTTTTTTTGAACAAAATATCTTTAAAAAAAGCTTAGAAGAAAACAAAAAATGTTTTTTTTTGGGGGATCCTAATATCGATTGCTTTACTTATAATACAATAAAGTTAAAAACTTTTACGACTCGCCCTACTAGGGTAACTAAAAGCTCAACGTCTCTAATTGACAATATCATTACAACTGATATCTTTAACAATGACATTCAAAAAGGCATTTTAAAATCTGACCTTTCTGATCATTTCCCAGTCTTTCTGACTCTTAACTCAAACGCTTCGATTAATAATAATTCTAAAACAATATTTATTCGAGATTTTAATCTAACCAATATGAATTTCTTTAAAAATCAGTTATCTCTTTTGCATTGGGATCATATTAATTTCAAGGGGAATGTTGACACCATTTATGAGACCTTTAAAACATTTTACGCCGTATATGATGCAAACTTTTCAATTATTGAAAAAACAATTAAAATAAAAAATTTTAATAACCCTTGGGTTACCAAGGGTTTCAAAAAGTCATCTAAAACAAAACAGAAGTTGTATATGAAATAACTTAAAACGAAATCGTCTAAAAATAAAAAAATATACAAAGATTATAAATATTTGTTCGAAAAAATTCGTAAACGCCTAAAAAAAAATTATTACTCTAGAATATTAGACAAATTTAAAAATAACTCTAAGCGCACTTGGCAAGTAATAAAAGAAATTACTGGCAATCAAATAACATGCTCACGTTCCCTCCCCCAAATGATTATAGTTGATAACAAAAGTATTTATGAATCAAAAGCTATATCTAACGAATTTAATAAATACTTTATCGAAATCGGCCCTAAATTAGCTAATAATGTTCCCTTTACCCCAGTCGCATTTAATGATTTCTTAGTACCAAAGGATGATTGCAACTGTTCTAAAGAAATATACTCAGATTTATCTTTTGATGAATTCCAAATCGCCTTCAAATCACTAAAAAAAAAAGAGCTATCAAAGCTGATGGAATAAATGGTGACATAATTATCGAGTGTTTTGATCATCTCAAAAATATTCTTTATGAAGTTTATAAATCATCTGTCGACCAAGAAGATTTTCCTGATCGTCTAAAAATTGCAAAAGTTATTCCAATTTTGAAAGAAAGAGACTGTTGCAATATCAGTAACTATCGCCCTATATCTATCCTTTCTACCTTTTTAAAAATCTTAGAGCGTATTATGTACAATAGAGTATACAATTATCTTGTCTCCAATAATCTTTTTTATTATAATCAATTTGGTTTCAAAAAAAATAATTCTACCGAACATGCAATCATCTAATTTGTACGAGAAATCTCAAATTCCTTTCAAAGATCCCAATTTACATTAGGTGTTTTTATTGACTTGTCGAAAGCTTTTGATACTGTCGACCATGAAATCCTTCTTGAAAAACTAAAATACTACGGATTAAACTATATAACTATAAAATGTTATATAGTTTAATCCGTAAAAAGAACAAAATTTAACAAATTTTGCATTACATTTCGAGCACCCTATCTTTGGAATAAAATTGTTATACCTAATTTTGATATATCCAATACATTTCCGATCTTTAAAAGTAAACTTAAAAATTTTGTTTTATCTATTGATGATATATTTAAATACTTTTTATAACAATCACGTATTTGTCTTTTTAATTGTAAGACTGTTGTATTTTCTCTTGCCTTTAAAAAAAAGAGATGTATTACTGTATTTACTATGTATATATATGTATTTATATATTTACGTTTTTATAAGATCTGATGATATGATCAGACTTTTTATTATATATAACATTAGTGGTTTGATTTATATTTCCAATTTATATCACGATTTATTGTAATTTTTTAGTTTTGTTAATGTATTGATTTTAAAAAACTTGTAAAAGGTTCTGATGATAAGATCATTATGATCTTCTCTCAGAAGCCTTGTCTCTTTATCTTTGTAAACAACGACAAAAATGAAACGAAAAAAAAAAAAATAATTATTTTCAAATTTTTAAGGCCAATTTTCACTGAATTTTGTTTTTTTTACTTTTGAGATACATAATTTTTTTGTTGATAACATGTAAAAATTAATAAACGGGGGGGGGGGGGGTCTTAATAAGCTTAGGGTGGGTGGGAAAAATATCCAAAAATTAATAAACGGGGGGGGGACGTTTATTAGGAACTCGAGAGTATGTTTATTATAGGCGCGCATATGTGCGCTTTCTGCACAAAAGGGTTGAGATATTGATTCGGATAATTAAGAAACTGATTCAGGTAACCTAAAAAGTTTTTTTTTATTTTTAATTCTTTCCTATCATGACAACTGCTTAAATGATGTGTTGATTTTTAATAATATACTTGTTGTTGTTGTTGTTGATTTTTAACAATATACTAGAAATACTTTTTTATGACGCTTTAATATACTAGAATTGGTTTCCAATTACAACTGACACGTGTTTTTACTCTTCTTGTATACATCACAGCAAAAACAATATCAATGGGCGTGAAATACATCAACAGGAATTGCTTTGTTAGTCCGTTTTCGTGTATAGTGGTACCTATAAAAAACTATTTTAATTTTGTCTTTTGTATAAAAAGACACTAACAAATTCTGCTTTCATACATACATATCATATCATGCATACCATATCATATATATAACATATTATATCATGCATATCATATCATATATATAACATATTATATCTAGCCATTTACAAATATTTTTTATAAAACCTCAATCAAATTTTTTCAATTCAAACATGTATTCCTATTTATAGAAATTTAACTATTTATTTTTTCAAATTAACTATATTTGCTCAGTCTTTTCATTTAATGACATTTTATTTATTGTCATATAATGACATTTCATATTATTGTCGTATAACGTGTCATTATTCAAAAATATTTAAAGAAAGAATTAAGATTTTTGTTAAAGGACTGCTAAAATTTCTGTTGAAAGACATTATTAGGTACTTCGATTGGGGCTTCTTGTTTATGCGTTTTTAAAACAATTTTGGAACGTTTTTTTTTTGCGAGCGGTAACGTGGTTTTTCTTAATGCTTGTCGATGATTCTTTTCTATTAACATGCCTTGTAAAAAGAGACTTTTCTAGAAAAATCATTTTGTGGAGAAAAATATTCACGCTGTTCTTTTAATTTTTCTCCAAGTTTGTTGATTCAGAAGTTAACTTCTTTATTAGAAATTAACTTTTACTATAAGGTAAGTTTAAAATGTTATATCATTTTAATTAGATCAGGTTTTTCTAAAGTATCAAGAGGTACGAATATTAGGCTGTATTAGTTATGATCTGTAGCAAGATGGTTCACTATTTCTTAGGTTTTACGTTAATATGCCAGGTACTGTGAGACGACTATTTTTTGAAATTAATTTTTGTTTTGTTTTCAAAAACAAAATTGTTGTTACCGGCTATGACTTTTTCAAACCTACTTAGACTAAGTGAATGTATATAGAATGAATTGCGTAAATATCTTTAGCAAAGATGTTGAATAATGTCATTGTTCAACATCTTTACATTTTATTTTAAATTTACATTTTATTTTTAAATTTTTTATGAAACATATTTTTACCGAGAATTTTACTACGCCTGTAGTGGTTTTCTAGCATTGTCATAAGTAATTAGATCCTTTAAAAATATGTTACAAACTTATTAATTTTCTTATAGGAAAATTATAACAAAGGTATTCTTCGGAAAATTTTTCTAAAAAGTTTTTAAAATAAGCAAATAATATAAAGTGTTTTTAAAAAATTCCAAAAGTTATATTATTTCATGAAGAACTTAAACATGAAAATATTTACCTTTAAGACTAAATTCAATACTTTATCACATTTAAATGCATTGAAAATATCCTGGATTAGTATAAGTTTCTTTGTGAAAACCAGGTATTATATTGCAAAATTAAAGGTTTTATCTAAAAGACGTCCGGATCCGTTTCACTGTTTTAAGCTAATATTTCAAGCAACAAAAGTTCTTAACAGCAATTTTTAATATAAGTTAACAAAATTTATAAAGTTAAATTTTATTTTTATTTAATTTTTTTACTCATTACTTCTTTTATATATATATATATATATATATATATATATATATATATATATATATATATATATATATATATATATATATATATATATATATATATATATATATATATATATATATATATACATATATATATATATATATATATACATATATATATATATATATATATATATATATATATATATATATATATATATATATATATATATATATATATATATACATATATATATATATATAAATATACATATATATATATATATATATATATATATATATATATATGCTATTTATATATATATGTTTATATATATATATATATATATATATATATATATATATATATATATATATATATATATATATATATATATATTTATATATATATATATATATATATATGTATATATATATATATATATATATATATATATATATATATATATATATGTATATATATATATATATATATATATATATATATATATATATATATATATATATATATATATATATGTTAGGGATGCACCAATGCATCGGCCTCGGCATCGGTCTTGGTAACCATCGGCCAATGCCAATTATTTAAAAAAGTCAGATTTTTTAGTTTTGTGTTTCTATATTGTATAAAAAAACATAATAATTATATTTTTTTATACAATATAGAAACACAAATTAAAAAAACTCAATTTTGAAAACAATCGGCATTGGCCGATGCCGATTGTTTTGAAAAATGAGTCTTTTTAGTTTTGTGTTTCTATATTGTATACACGGCTGTTTCACTCAATATAAAAGCGAGCCTGGCGTCACGAGTTTATCAAAAAAAAAAGTATTTCCGCATAAAAAGTATAAAAATTCATTAACTTTAAAATAATAGTATTTTTTTTCTATAAATGCTTTCATCTTCAAATAAAAAAAATATAAAAGATCTATCTTTCCTTGTTAAATAAACATTTACATTAAACGGAATAAAAATGAAAGCTGTAAAAATATTGTAAATAATTTGGCATCACTTTTCTGATTTTTGCGATTTTTACGCAAAACCTGTCTTAGGCCAACTAAGATTTGATAACATAGCTACATGGTCGATGGTTGAAATTTAGAACAGTTATTAATGAATGTCTGTTCTATCTAGATTTCCACAGACTTTGCAAGTTTTTATATAGAAAGTTAGTTTTTAATGCATTTATATTTTTGTTTTTATTCGTTTTGAATAAAAAACATAACATTTTTGAAAAGTCTGTGAATTTAGTAATACTTCAACCTTATATGAATAAGAAAATCAAAAAATTATTTTCTGTACCTCTAGCTATGTTATCAAATATGTTTTCAAACTTGGCATGTTTAGCGACATTTTTTTTAGTTTTTTTTTGCATAAATTCTTGTTTACATTTTAAAGCGGTGACGCAAACTCTGACCGTTACGTCCCCAACGATTATATATAAAATATTTTTTATATATAAAAAAATATAATTATTATATATTTTTATACAATATAGAAACAAAAAAATTTTAAAATCTGATTTTTTGAAACTAATATATATATATATATATATATATATATATATATATATATATATATATATATATATATATATATATATATATATATATGTATATATATATATATATATATATATATATATATATATATATATATATATATATATATATATATATATATATATATATATATATATATATATATATATATATATATATATATTCAATTTTTAGTTTTAAGACAACAATTTGTTTTATATTGTTATCAATTAAAAAAGTAAAAAATAAGTAAAAAGGTTTAGACATTCTACTGATTAAACAAAACAAGTTTTTTAATTTAGGCGGAGACATCGATGAGTTTTTCTATTCATTGGCTGGTTTAAAAAAATGATAACAGTAAAAGGTTTTTTTTTTTTTTTTTTTTTGATAATTGTTTTTACTTCCTATTTACTAGCTACCCTGCTTGACTACTCTTTAACAAATTTACTCCGAACTTACTAAACTACCGCAGTCTGCGGTTAAGTATTGACCCATTTTGCATCTTTACGTTTGTTGCAAGAAAGCTACAACTGTTATTTTCTCAAAATCGAAATGTAATCTGGTATACCGCATAATACCTGTCTTTTAACAGAAAAGTCAATCATATAAAGTACTTTTTTGGAGGTTTAAATGGTGAACTAAAGTCACCCCACACGCAAGGTGGCTAAAGACTAGTGCAGTAAAAAAGGGTTCAAACTTAAATTGCATCAACTAAAACATCAATCTTTTGATAAAAAGAACAACTTTTGATAAAAATTTTGATAAATCTAATTTATTAACAAACTTTATGTACAAAGTAAACAAAACAAAGGAACAAAATAAACAAGTTTATACACTAAGTAAACAAAACAGCAACATTTATGTACCATTAAGGTGGTCCATTTTAATCATTTTTTTTTAAGTTTTAATCGGGGTTTTTACCAGTGATAATATTTGATTTAAAAATGCTAAACACAAAATGCTTCAAACTTTGGACAATTTTTAGATATTTACAAAACATCGGAAGTTGGAATTACGTATTGCGCTTATGTTGCACAACATTATTATCTACTAATTGTTATTGTTACTAAGTGGGGTTTACACAATTTAATTATTAAACATTAAAAAATAATTATACAAAACTTTATTAATTTACGACTATTTTAACATATTCCACCAAAAAATTATTAAAGTATAAATAAATATAAAATTAATAATGTTAATGAATCTTATTTTTTTATTAATTTCAATTATATTCAATATATTCAAAGAAATCAAATAATTTCTTTGAGTAATATGTTCATTTTAAACTTTTTTGATGCTTTTCTACAACTTGAGCAAGTTGTTTTCTATCTCTACTGAATCAAAACATTTGTCTTCAATGTCTCCTATAAGCTTGACACCTTGCTCTGCAATATCGTTGACGCATAAAAGATTGCATACAAATTGTTTTGCAGCGTTTACGTCCTCGAACTTATTTTAATGCTCTGATGGAAAGTTTGACCATTCTTTGAATCTGTTTAATTTTAAAATATAGAAAAGAAACAATGAGTTTTTGCAAATGAAAGACGATAAAAAAAGTTTTTTTTCTGTCGCGTTGAATAATAATTGGAGGCTTTGGTTTATAAGGAATGAATACTTTAGGTCATTAGTTTTTAAGTTTTTAACCCATCACAGTCATTTCTGCATAACTCACAGTGTCGTCAAACAAGGAAAATACTTGATGGTTTCTTCTGCTCTTTCAAGGTTGATTGATTTAAATTTCCTCATTAAATAAAAGAAATGCATGTCATTAGCTGGAGCAGCAGCAGTAGAAACATTGAAGAAAGTACTTTCCGTCAAAAAAGGCATATGTTCTCTCGCTTCCTTTTGACATCAACCTCATTTAATATGTTTACCGAAAAAAATCGCTTCACTAATTCTCAATAGTCGTCACGAGGAAATGTATTTCTCTCTAATCATTCCATTGCCTATTTCTTTACTTCAAGTGTTTGTTGAAATAAAAAACTATTTTGATCATGAGTCCCGTCCTACACTATAAGTTTATTTATATTCTTGTTATAAAGTTCTTCTTTGAACCTTTGTATAGTTATAAAATATATAAATCAAACTATAATATCACGTTTATATATAATATACGTGATACTGTAGTGTGATGAAACGTTGCCGCTCTCTTTTAGCAAGTATTTTGTCTACTCCAGCCATTGAGACCACTTAAGGAAACTTTTGTTGGCTTTTTAGGAATTTTCAGTCAATAAACAACTTGTTGTTACCAGAGTGTTCAATCAAAGCGTAAGTGTCTGTGATCAATGCGTAAGTGTCTGTGATATAAAAAAGTTTTACGTCAATGGAAAATATGTAGTTTTTTACTTTTTTTTCTTGTTTCTGCTTTCAGGAACTTTTTTTAGTGTCTCGTATTCTTTTACCAGACAGTTTGATTAGCGCAGTCCTTCCTGCAATACTTTGTTGGAATATAAGCCGGGAACAGGTGATTTACAATGAGTTTTTTTTTTTTTTATTAAACGTTTTTTTCCTCTCAAAAAGATATTTTAATACAATATAGCAATGGTAGCTTTCCTTTTTGCTGAGTACTTTCTTTTCTGCTTCAATAGTTACATTAATTCTCAAACTTTTACAGGCCTACCAACCTTCTTTGGTACGGGATCCCAGCCGTGGTTAAATTCAAGACTGAAGCTTGTAATATAAACACTGTTAGTAACTATATATTTAGATATATACTATGCAACACTAAAAGGATATAGAATAAGGTTCATTAAAAACTTTGTAAATTAAACTTATCAACGTTGCGGTTTTTGAGAACTATGGTTGAATAAAAAGAATTAAGAAATTTTTGAGAACTATGGTTGACTTAAAAGAATTAAGAAGTTTTTGAGAACTATGATTGACTCAATAGAATTAAGAAACTTTTGAGAACTATGGTTGGCTCAAAAGAACTAAGAAGTTTTTGAGAACTATGGTTGACTCGGTATATTTTTGAGAAAGTTGACTCAAAAGAAACTTTAGGACTTAAAGATATTCTTAAAATTTCACAACATGAAAAATATGATGGAACAAAAGTACCAAGATTGTAATGTTTGAAAAATATTGAAATCAGAGTAACTAAACTGAATTATGTCACGAAAACATTTTTGGTGTTTTGAAACAAATCTCTTGTTGAATAAATGCAAGTAGTCGTAAATTGATAAACTTTTGTAAAATTATTCCTTAATTATTAACAAAAATTGTGTTAATCTAACTAAAAAATAGTTAGTGGTTAAGAACGTTGTGCAACACTTGCGCAATCCATTTATTCGAACTTCCAATGTTTTGTAGTGATCTAAAGCCTGTTTTAAATTTGTATTTTTTGGTATATATCGTTTTTAAATTAAATCATCACTGGTAAAAACCCTGGTTAAAATTTGAAAAAAAAAGTTCAAATTTGACCAGCTAAATGTACCATATAAACAAAATATAGGTATCAAGTAAACAGAACAGTAAAGTAATATGTACAAAGTTAACGTAATTACAAAAAAAATGTTTTAGAAAAAGTTTTCACATATCAGTTCACGAACTGAATTTCTGAACTGAAAAAAAAACTGTTTTTAAACTTTTCTTTGGTTCTTTAATAAAATTTATCACCTCTGACTAGGGCAAAAAGAGTTGTTCTGCTGGTGATTTAGCATCACCTTACTAATTTTATTTTTTTACTAAATTTTTTCTTAGTTTATTAAACTGCTTTAAAAAAAATATTTTGTAGTTAATAACAATAATTATTATTACCAATTGTATTAACAATTGCAATAATTTTGTAAATAAATAAAAAAAAAACTTTTAAAGGAATTAATAAATAGTTTAAAAATATAAACAAGCTTGTCCAGAATATAACTATCTATTAAACAATTACATACCTAGGATATAACTCTCTATTGAACTATTAAATACCCAGCAAACATTGGGAAACGGACTCCGTACGGTTTTTTTCAGGGTTAACAAAAACGGAATTCATTTGGGTTTGTGCTCTGGTTTCCAGATGGGTCCTGTTTGGATGAAAAATAAAACAAAGTCTTATAAACGGGCCGTATCTGATAATTATGTGGGATAAGGACTCTGTCATTTTGACGCGCTAGTTATTCGGGGCCCACTTAGTAGTGTTTATCTGCGGAAATTTTTTGATTTGATACATGAAAATCTAAAGGACCATAGAGTGTTAATTTCGTTCATTTAAGTTTCCTCAAAAATATTTAAGGTTTCTTGTTACAGATTACTTATAAAGCTTTCTTAAAATAGCTCAAGTTTAAGTTTTGAAAACTTTATTACCACAAATTACATTTTATAAACTTTTGACATTAACTGTTTATAATTTTACAATAATAAACAGTTAATGTTAAAGAATAAAGTGGAAGATCTTGATAAATTTAATCAGAAATAATATCGAAAAATTTGCAGTCCTGAGATGATGGAGATTGATATAGAAAAAAATAGAATGATAACAGAGTAAGGTTAAACGAAAAGCACATAATAAAATATTCTGCGTATTTAAACCTAGTTTCTTGACAAATAGGTGTATTCTTACGAATGTAAATGCTCATGCCAAGCAAGTGACTATTGAAATCTTTAAAAGTTAATGGAGAATAACCCTCAAAACTAAGATCACAAGATGAGACAGCTGAACTCTAGTTGTCTGAACTCTAGTAGTCTAGACAGCTGAACTCTAGTAGTCTGAAAATTAGTCTCATAAATAGCAAGTGGGTTCGGTGACCTTGGGGTGCTAAGCTGGTCAATAGATAGAATTTTTTTACCTCTTAAGTCTTTGCCTAGGAGTCCTTTTACAAGACAGTAGCCAGATGCATTTTACGTCTGCCCAAGATGAGTATTTTTGTTGAGACACCATCTCTAGCCTTTTCTCAACCAATAGCCCAATAGTAGAGAATAAGTTAATTCAGAATTGGTATTTCCTAGCCTTTCTAGGGTTTATAATAATGAGGCAATTGGTTGGATTATTAGAAAGTGTATTGAGTACTATCTGTGGTTGGAGTTAACATCTTTAACAAGTTTAAAAAGTGACTAAAGTATCAAAAACTAAAAAAAAAAAAACTTTCGTTATCATCTAGTACTCTAAATTTATCTTTCACAAATATTTGTGATCTTTGAACTAAACTTTCTTTTGCCTAAAAACGCATATCCTAAAAGACAGTGGGACATGAAACAGGTTTTACTGGGTTACATGTATAGTAACAGAATATTTTGATTTAATAAACTTTAATGTCTTGCAGAGCTCTTGTTTCATTCACTATATATTGAGTTTTTATAAACAATATTTAAAATCAGAAGTCGTTTTTTCACTCATACACATTTTATATTGACTTTCTATTTATGATAAACATCATAAATTGAAAAGAGATTGAAATTATTTTTTGTACATTTTAAGTTTGCCGATTTTAATTACAATTATTTGTAAGCAACTTGTATTGCATAGTTTCTTTACTTGGTTATTTGCACCAGAATCATTGTTTAAACAATTTTTTGGTGGGAGATAACACTTTAGATAGGAGATAATATATAGCAAAGTTATGATTTTGCGTTACTGAACAAATCAATTTTACTATGGTTTTACTATGCAAGTACACCTTAGTGTATTTGTTTATCTCCCTACAACAAATAAACTATCATTTATTTTTAAATTATTAGTATATTTAGCTAAATCATATCAAACTTTTTAATAATCAAAACAACTTTTAATAAAATAATTTTTTACGTTTTTTATAGTTATTTTAATACTGGCTGGATTATTTTCATGTGTAATATTGTTTTATGCCGTGCTGATGTTATACAAATGTTTACGCATTAAAAAACCTGATCTGGAGAATAAAGAAGAAAATAATAAAGAAAAAGTTATTACTTTTTCAAATAACTTCGATAAACTATATTCGATTCAAACAGTAGAGCCGCAAATAGCAGTGGAAGATAGTTTTGCGAATGGGAGATTCATAAAGTACCCATCGGTTTGTTGATCTTTATTATGATTTTTTTTTTTATTGAAATTTTATTTTAAACTTTTAATATTTTAATAAAAATATTTTAGTAATGTTAGTTTAACTAAAATTAGTTTTATATTTTCAGCCATATTTTTTCGAAAAAATCGAATCATCGATTTTAGGATGTCGCAAATCAAAAAGACGTAATAGAGAAAAGTTTTTGTCTCGAATATATAGAAAAATTACGCGAAATTAGTCTTGGTGAAAATGGATTTTCTTGGAAGAGACATGTTTTATTTAATATTTTAATACTAAAAATTTATAGATTCAAAATTAAAGATAAAAAAATCATTATCTTAAACTCTTCATAAAAGTTAAAAGTTTCTTCGAACTTATTTTTATTCTTGCTCTTCCCCTCTGACGCTTAATAAATTACTCTGACGCTTAATAAACATACTTACTAAAAACTCTAGTGAAACTGAAAATATATATATATATATATATATATATATATATATATATATATATATATATATATATATATATATATATATATATATATATATATATATATATATATATATATATATATATATATATATATATATATATATATATTTTCAGTGTGTGTGTATATATATATATATATATATATATATACACACACACTGTGTATATATACACACACACATATACAGTGTGTGTGTGTATATATATATATATATATATATATATATATATATATATATATATATATATATATTTTCAGTGTGTGTATATATATATATATATATATATATATATATATATATATATATACACACACACTGTGTATATATACACACACACATATACAGTGTGTGTGTGTATATATATATATATATATATATATATATATATATATATATATATATATATATATATATATATATTTTCAGTGTGTGTATATATATATGTATATATATATATATATATACACACACACACACACGCGCACGCGCGCGATTGCTTCTGGTTTAAAGGAAATGCTAGTTGTCAACACATGGAAAGCGATTTTAGCACGTCAGATGGTATATCTCCAAAGGTATATTAGAAACGTGATTGAATTTTTATTCTTCAAAGACTGATAAAATGTTCTGAATTTATTGTAAACTATTTGCAAAAGCCGAAAAAACCTCATTGTTTAAAGTTAGTGTTTATTACAACTGAAAGAATGCATTCTGGGATTTTGGTTGAAGTCATTACTTTGCATAGAAATTGTATTAAAAAACTTGTTTATATAAAAACTTGAAGAAAACGAATAAATAAAAGTTTCGTACATGTCTGAAAGAGTTATTTGCGTCAACTTCTGACCCTAACCCTGACCCTAAACGGATTGTAAGTGTAATTATATTTTTGTGAGCGGGATGTCTTGCTTTTTGCGGGAATGAGAAGATTATTGGATCTGTGAATAATGAATGTTTAGGGTGTTTGGAGCTACTTGTGAAGTATGGTCCATTTTTTTAAAACAAATTCAACAACGTGATAAAAAAAATCACATATCATGCTTATCATCAATAATTTGTGATGATTTTATATTAATTAAAAGTGATTAGTTAATGAGGCAGGTCATTCAAGAAATAAAAGGTCTAAAATACTATAGACTTAACACCAAATGTTTAGCATTCAGATCAGTTATTATTGATAATTCGATACGTAATAGCAAGCGAACCAGTTGAACATTTTATAAAATTTATTCCGATATATCAGCATACTGGTGAGAGATTAGCAAAAATACTACTTGGATTTTTAGAAGAAAATGGTATAAGCATTAAATACTGTAGAGGAAAGTTATATGACAATACATCAAATATGAGCGGAAAATACAATGATATGCAAGCCTGGATTTGCAGGAAAAACAATTTAGATGAATACGTTTCTTGTAGTTGACATTTTCTAAATTTTTTTGGCCAAAACTTTGTCGAAAGCTGTCATTGGTCGATTTACCACGATGCAGTTGCTGCACTGCAGAAAAGATATAAAACAATTTAACTGATTCTTGTCAGTATGTTTGAATCAACAATTAAAAAAGCTGATACGCGATTAGAGGCTGGAATATTGGTCCAGGTATGGTCAATGGTTTAAGAAAGATTTGACAAAACAGGCAAATGTCTTCAAGATTCAAAACTAGATTTGAAGACTGCTACAAAAATGTTGCAATCTTTAAAAACGTTTGTTTAAAAGCTTCGTTCTTAAATCAGTGAAATAAACAGAGATGTAAAATTCTGTATCAAAATGATGCGTATCAACGACAGTAAAAAAAGATAAAGCAAAACAAAAGAAGGCACTATCATGATACAGAAGCAGATCCTGCTGACGCTGGATTGACGCCTTCTTAAAAGTTTAAAATACACACACTTCTTCTAATTATTGACAAGCTATTATCAGCCTTGAATCAATGAATTTCTGTATGCAATGTTAATGAAGATAGATATGGTTTTTTGTATCAAGTTAATACTTTAAATTCTTTAAAACTACATAAAGAATTCAAAGTATTAACTTTAAGTTTATGGGAAAATCTTTCTGTAGTCAGAAAGTTTTGTCCTTAAACTGTAGTTTTAAAGAGCGCGTTAATAAAATGCTACATCAACTGACAGTTTGGTTCGGGAAGGCGCCTTCCCGAACCAAACTGTCAGTTGATGTAGCAACACTACCTTGCAAGTAAGGCTATATGCCAGTCAATGCAGCAGCATTACCTTACGAGTCAGGCTATTTGTCAGTCGATGTAGCAGCACTCCGTTGCAAATCAGGCTATAAGATAGTTGATGTAGCAACATTCCGCGCATGTTTTAAAAATATATTTTAATAAAACAACAACAAAAACACCATTAATTAAAAAAAACTTTCTAGTCATTATTATTGCGGTTTTTTTAAAAAACAAAATTTAATGTACATCCGCATTAATTATAATATCAAACTATATATAAATGCTGATTTTTACTCAAATCATCCAAATTTTGTTTGAAAAACAATCCTACGAAATCTCGAATTATTGATGAAAACACTACTTTTTCTATTATTGTTTAAAAAAAAAATATTTGATTTCTTTTGTAAAAGAGTTATTAGAATGTAAATTGAGTCATATTATCCTATGAAAATGATGCAAAATAATTTGAAAATATTGTTTACGATATGTTTTTTGATTGCACTATTAGACCACGTTTTGAACACTCTTCATAAAATATTTTTTGTAGCTCTTCAGCAGGATTTAAACAGGCCTTTAAAATATCTGTAAACAGAGATCAACTAATTCCACTTATAATGCGGTAGTGGTGTAGTGGCAGAACGCTTGTCTCATAAGCAAGAATTACCGAGTTCGATCCCCACCACGTCCCTGGTAGTACTGCGCTTAATTTGTTTCTCCTGCCTTGTTCGTCAATGTTCGTGTTTCGGAGTTATAGATTTGAGAGAGGGTTGTAACCACAACTAAAGTAACCTCCTCGACTGTAGTGGCTTTCATGGCCTAAGAGAGGTGAGTTGAAATAAAAAAAATATCTTTAATAAATTCATATAAAAAAACAATATTCAATTTTAGCATCTAAATTACCTGAATTATCTGTTAAACTAAAACAAATCAGGTTGCTCCTTTTAATTCTACCGCATCTGTTGCTGCAAAATATTCTTCAATATCTAGCGAGGCACCAAAAAATTTAAATTTGGAAAGTGTTTCTTCTGTTTTTGGAAAGTATTGTAATAACTGTAATGGTAATTACAATAAGGGAAATAAAGAAAAAGTTTTCCGGCTTCTTCATGAAAAAGAAGAATATATTCGTTGGGTGAATGCTATACCACGAGACAATATACCTGACAATCCAGATACAGTTGTTTGCAAAAGGCACTTTTTATCTGGATATCCAACAGTTACCAAATTTTGTCATTAAAAGCCTTGTGATCCTCCATCAAATTTTACATGTATCAAACCTAGTTTTATACCTACTCTTCCATCTCACTTAAGAACAACTTTTAAAGCATCTTTATCTGTCCGTAACATCATGTCCGACTAACTTGATATATTTTTAGCTACTGATAAAATTACATCCTTTAGCTCATTACAACAGAAGTTACAAAATAAAGAAATTTATTTTGGTACAGTTAATGTAACTTGGTATTTAGCTGGTGAACAGTTGCTGATCATCCAGTCAACAGATTTTGAAGAAAATTTTTCAATAAATTTATGCTTAAAATCAAGAATGATCTTACTTTTGAAGATACTTTAGTGGGATTAAACATAAAATTGAGTTTCCATCTAAAAACAGGATTTTCATAACCAATTCTTGTCCAAAAATTACTAGAAGCTATTAATTTTTTAAATAACTTAACAAAATCCAATAAATTAATACATCTTTTGAAACACTTCCGTGATATGAGTTCTATTACAGTTGGAAAAAATACACCGCAGAAACTATTGTACGAGTATTTGAATACTCTGCAATTTCAAGATCATTATATGAAAGATTAAGGGAAGATTATGAACTTCCAAGTATTTTGTTCCTAACAAAGCTAACTTCAAAATTGGATTCTGCAATAGATGATACAGAGTTTTTAAACTCAGTTTTTTCTAAACTTGAAAATGGAAAAAAAGTGTTTGCTATTGATTGACGAAGTATACATCAAAACATCTCTTACTTACAATGCTGGCTCAACCTTTGGAAAAGCAGTAAATAAACTATACTCTTAGGCAACTACTGTTTTAAGTTTTATGTTAGTTTCACTTTATGGAGGACCGCAATATCTTTGCAGAATTTTACCTGTTTGTGAGCTTGATTCTAAATTTCTGTTTGAACAAACTAATTTTGTTTTAGAAGGAAAAAGAGCGCTGAAGGGATACCAGTTGCCATAATATGTGATAATAACCGTGTAAATTAAGCAATATTTAAAATGTTTGAATATGATGATCCTTGGTTGACCAAAGACAACACGTTTTTGTTATATAACTTTGTGCATCTACTTAAATCTGTTCGTAATAACTGGATTACAGAAAAAAGCCAAAAGTTACGTTATGAATATAATGGGGAAACTAAATATGCATGTTGATCTAATATCTTAAGTTTGTTCAGACTCGAAGAAAATAATATTGTAAAATTGTCTAAACTTACAAGTGTGTCTTTTGCACCAAAGCCTATTGAAAGACAAAAGGTGTCTACTTGACTACAAGTCTTTTGTAATGAAACTGTAACTGCTTTAAAATCTAACAATAATATAAAAGAAGCAGATGACACCATAAATTTTATTGAAATACTTGTTAAATTCTGGAAAATTGTCAATACAAAAAGACTGTATGCTGATATTCGATATAAAGATCCAGATAGAGCAGTTATATCA